TTGGTATATTTTAACGAGGGAGGAACAATGCAATGTTTCACATTACATACTACATATGGATTATTCACTCGTCAGAATAATGGTTGAAACTTGTTAAACGATCGAACTATTCATCACGCATTGCTAATTCAGCATCCTTATTGGGCTGGCTTATGTTTTCCAGGTAATGGTCAATTGGGTTTTCTCTTATTAATAAAGGAAAACAAAAGAATGGGAGTTCGTTCCTTTGTTTAACTCCTTTCCCATGTGGTTAAACGTTTGTGTGTGTGTGTATGTTTGTGTGGCAAGATTGTTCCCCTTTGGACAAAACCGCCCTCCTTGCATTAGTCTCACTAATGAGGTCTCAGTGTGAACAGTTAGGTTTTGTCGATCGGTCGCTTGTCCGCAACTGGATTTGCCCTTTGAATGAACTGTGCTTGTAATGGCGTTCGAGCGGCGGTGCCAATGCTAGTAATGCGACGCTGCGTGTGTAATCGAGGGAACAATATCCTCTTTATCTCTGCAAACGACCTATCGCTTTATTCAAGGATCGTGGTGATACTGCGATGAAAGGATTGTCCTAGTTACAGTCCAATTAACCTGATCCAAACTCGACATGGGCACGTGAGATTCGATATATGGAGCAAACAGTTAAATAGCTCGCTGAGTTAAGCGAAATCTAGTGCTTGCCAAATGTTTGACAGCGTTTTATGTATGCGGAGTAGCTGTGGCGAAAAATTGTCGCTAACAGACCAACATTCTGATTATTTTTGTCTACCTGGGTACACCCAACAACTGTCGACACAGCATAAAAAAGCCGGATGATTAACGCCCACGAGACAAACTGATTGATTGTAAGTCCATGTCCAATGGGCTAAAATACTAAGTCGCCCTTTTGTGTTGCTGTTTACAATGGATCCAATGTCTATAATAAATGCATAGTGCCTACGCGAACGGAACTGCTCATTTGCTTCGCTACGTACGTCAAACATATTTCACCGGGAAGATATATACTATATATCATCTATCGAGCTCTTCACTGACTCTGTCTCTTTGTCGATCCACCATTCAATGCAGCTTTTTTCAGATCGAATCTGAAAATCCTGTTTCATACGTTGAGTGCAAACAAGTTTTCTCGGGTATGTAATAGGATCGGGATTGTATTCATTGGACTTAGGGTCATATTCTGTTTATAATGGCTGAAAAACAGCACACCTGGACTACTTCTGTTTTGTTCCTTCTGCGGCTCGTCAGCATATCTGTTTTGTGTTTCGACCGGGACTGGATTGGGGAATTTTTGGGTTGGAAGCCAAAATACCTACTCACGGTGTACCTTTTTCCTTCCTTTTTATTTATTGAATATACAAGTGTACAGTCAACTTTCTGGAAGGGAGCCGCGACCATGCAAAGGCTGTCTGGGAAGATGCAGAAATGGGAAAGACTGGAGACGGTAGAGCGGTTCGTACCCGGGACCCCAGGTCACACTTTAGTGGCCTAACCACTTGGCCACCACCGCCGCTATCCCATAAATGAATCTGTGTGTGTGTGTGTGTGTGTGTGTGTGTGTGTGTGTGCAGTCAGTGAAATGTTAGGGATTATTCTGCCAATTAGATTTCTTTATATTTTATGTTGCGTAGATCCATTCACTGCTTTGAGAAACCTAGACATCCTTCGAGTAACTTAACTTAACTCAACTGAACGTTGAGATCCGTGCATGCTAAGTAGA